ACAAAAATTATAAATTAATAAAATTATAATTACTAAAAAAAAAAGGAAAAAAAAAAAGGCAAGCGGCAATAAGCCCAGCCCTAGAAGCGACGCAAACCCTCCCATTCGAGGCTGTGCTACCATTACTACCTTAGTCAGAGGCAGAACTCTCTCTAGGGTTTTACGTTGTACTTCCTTGTTTCAGACAATATGAGGTAAGTTCCAGTTCCCTTTATCCTGGATCAGATTCTTCAGACCGTTTACCTCTAACCTCTGCGCCTCCGGCGATTTGATTGGTTTACTCTACTGCCTTTGCTGTACCTCTTTCTCACTCTTTTTAAACTGGGTTTTTCTTAAATGTCCTCTGGGTATTTGATTCTTCTTGCACTTTGTGTTAATATTTGCACTTTGATTTTCCCTTTGGTGGTTCTTTCCCTTTAGTCCTGTTTGGTTTCTGAGAAAATGGAAGGAAATGAAACATATTGGGGGTATTTTGAACACTTTGCTGCCTGCAGTGTGTATTTCTTCTTTTTTCCCCGAGGGAAATGAAGCACAGAACCTCAGGCTTATGGTCATGAGGAAAGTTCGATCCTTGGAGTTTTAATCTTAACACTTTGGTGAAATTTTGCATTTTAGTTCTAATTTCTGTGTGCGTTTTTATCATTTTATGTTAGTTTAGTTTATATTTGTGCCAAATTGTAAATTGGGCATCGAAAGCACATACGATGCATATATGAAGTTACTAGATGAAAGTTATTATTTATCGTGGTGACATTTGATTTATTTTGTCTTCTCTTGTAACTGTGATTAAATATTTGTAGCCGTTATCCTGAGGTAAAATGGGCACAGAGGGACGACAAGGTTTTCATTACAGTGCAATTGGCGGATGCAAAGAATGCAAAAGTCAACCTTGAGCCAGATGGGGTGTTTACTTTCTCTGCTAATGCTGGAGCAGACAATAACCTATATGAGCTGAAGTTGGATCTTCATGATAAGGTCAAGGTGGAGGTAAGATGCCTTCCTAGAGCCCCAAATAATTTGTTTAGGTCTTGGTGATGGTTTTTAATCTAGGGGTTCAATGATGATTTTTTATGAAATTCACTTCGAGTTAGGAATCAGAACGTGTTTAAAACACTTTTAAACTGCCAGCAGAGAAGTTATGTTTTCTCTGTTGGTAGCTGCAGAATGAAGCTAGGTTTGTAAAGCCAAGTAGCCAATCATCAGTTTTGTACACTCCATTGTACTACCTAGTTCTTTAGCAATGTTTAGGGACAGCTCAAACTAAGTCTTTTGGCAAGTGTTTGCTACAAGTTCATATCTTAAGATCCTGTTGTCTGATTTGTGCAGATGTGCCTAAGATTAAAATGGAAGTAACTGGCCGTTATGGTTCTTGTTATCAAAGAAATTTATTTGCTTAATTTCTGCTCTTATTATGCTCTTTTTTTTTTCCCCCTGAAAAATAGGAAAGCAAAATAAATTATGGAGTGAGGAGCATCTTCTGTATCCTGGAGAAGGCCGAGAAAGGATGGTGGAAAAAATTATTGCATGGGGATGGCAGGGCACCCCATTATGTGAAAGTGGATTGGGATAAATGGGTGGATGAAGATGATGATAGTGGTATCTATTCTTAACTTGTGAGCAATGGTTTGTTTTGTTCAGTTTTTGATATTAATGCTGATTTTTTCCCCTCCTTTGCTTAGGGCCTGGTGATTTGGATTTGGGAGGAATGGACTTTTCGGTATGGTTTTACAGCTAGCAGGCATTCTTAGTGTATTGAATTTCAGTTATGAAATTTTGCCTGTTGATCTAATTTTTGTGATGTTGTGCAGAACTTTGGTGGTATGGGTATGGATGATGCTGGAATGGGTGACTTTGAGGATAGTGATGACGAAGGTAAGAAAGCCATTACTCTTACTAACTAGAATTATGTAAAAGATAATATTTTTAATCTGTCCTTCCACCTTAAGAAGATGTCATTTAACTATCCCTCTCTAAATCCCCTTGATCATGTTTCACCTGTCACAACTGTAAGTCTAATTCATCTTGTTGCTTGATGGTACTGATAATTTTCATATACTGTAGACCACGAAGTGGCAAAGCCAACAGGAGGCGACACCACTGAGGCTAAAGGATATTTGATTCCAGAGGAGAAAGATGCTGTTGAGGCTGAAGCAGGAACTTCTGAGAATAAAGGTGCACCAAACACATAGTGTTGTGTCATTAGAGATGCTAAATTTCAATCAAACTATGATTATGCCTTTGCAAATTTTTTGGTCTCTGTAATGGGATCAGACCGAGTTGTTTGCCTAAGTTGGTGCGATTAAAGAATTTGTATTCAGAAAAAGGATAATTGTTTCTGTCTAATGGAGATATAAATTCTCTGACTTAACTTGGGATGTTGTACTTAAGTTATTTGACTTGATGCTCCTAAAATTGACACATGCTTTTTATCATTGATTGATAATAGTAATAGAAATCACAGTGGATGCAGTGGGAGTGGTTGCTTCCTCCTACTCTTTAGATCTGGAACAGTTTCAATCATTAGGAGTTTGGTTCACATATGGTTGCTACTGCAAACCAAACAATAGAATGGTTGTAATGATCAAAAAAACAATAGAATGGTTGTGGGAATTTTACTCCCAAGCCAGCCTACAGCATTGCAAAGAACTTTAGCTGGAACCAAAATGATCTCTGGTCCTGGATTTGGGCGGTTCACGCTACTCCTAGAATTCAGCATTTCTTGTGGCTTCTTGTGCATGGTAAAATTTTTAACTTTCGATACTTAAGTTAAATGGGGTGTTTTGGCTGACAATGACTGTCCCAGATGCTATACTGCACCTGAAACCTTGAACCATCTGTTTCAAGGGTGCCATTTCTCTACTCTGCTTTGGGTTGTCATTACCCCTCGTAACATCATTTATTATCATCAAGCGTCTATTTTAAGGATTGGCTCAAGATCAATAGCTGTCACAAGGGTGATAAAAGTTCTCTCGGGTGACAATTGGAGAACCTACTTTGCCTTTTAAGGTGCAAATTTTCCTTCAAAATTAACACAAGTTTTCACTTAAAATTTTTATTTTTAAGAAATCAATTTAAATTTAGTAGTTATCATTAATTTTTTATCAAACTTCAAGACTAATTGTTTAATAGAGTTGCACCTGGCCACACTGCTCAATGGTCATAAACCAGCTTGTAAGGTGCATCCCTCCAGCCCGAGAGTTGGGGTTCGATTTCTCCCTCCTCCATATTTGTAACCTTGTTCAAAAAAATTGTTTAATAGAGTTTAATGACAATTATTTCTAATTTCTAAAAAATAAAAATTGAGAAAGTAATTTCTTGAACATGGAAATTTAAAAAAACAAATTGCATCAACATTTATTTTGAACAATAATTAACTTTAATGCGACAATTTTAGTGAATAATTTGCATATTTGGTCATTGGACCACCGCTAATGTTGGATGGTCACCTCCACCTCCACCTCCACCTCCATGCTTCCTCAGCCCTCAACTTCTCTGTTAATAGCCAACGGAATCTATTTAATATTATTTTCATTTTTATTTTATTTATTTTTTCTAAATGGGACGTGCACCCCATTCCCTTCTTCCTCTAAAACCGCTTCCTTTTTTCTCCTTTTTCTCCTCTCTTATAAGGTAAATAGAATTCAAAAAAATCTGTTGATTCAAATGAAAGGAACTTGATTCTCCTTAAACAAGATTTTGAATTAAATCTTGTAAATAGAAAAATAAACATTGAGAGAATTTTTTTTTAATGAAATTCAATCCAACTCAATTTCAAATTAATTGAGACGTAATATAATTATCAAATATTGAGAAGTTAATATAAAAAAATTCAAATAAATAGAGTTCACATTTCACACCGTTCAGTTGCGTTAAATTGACATAAAATCGAGACTTGTCCCCTAAAGTTAAAAGTTTTAAGTCTTTAATTACATATTTTAAATTTGATAGTTACAATGAGTAAGAAAAGATTTAAGTAAAGGATTATTTTTTATTATATAATTTATCATCTAACTGTATCAAAATAAGATAATAATGAGAACTTAAAATTATTGATTTTTTTCATCTTAGGATTTATAATATTTGTCAATAACTAGAGAGAACAGTGTTTTTTTTTTTTTTTTTGGGGGCCATATGGATCGTATAACAGTTTCACTGCCCATTTTCTTCGGTACTTCAGTTAAAAATAAATCTTTGTATAATTAAAAGCAAACAATGGACACAAAAGTCTTGTATGGGCAAAAGTTAAAAAAAATCCAAGATCAAATACAATGCTGACGTTTTGTGCAAAGTGAGTGCTGGAGAATTTTTACCTTTTTAACTTTAAATTCATAAGGTGGTTTGATATTTGTTTAAGGATCTACAACCTTGGAATACATAAAGCAGCATAAGTTGGAAAAATGAGAAACCTTACTACAAACTTTGTTCTGTATATCACCCACAAATCAGCACTGAAACCAACACTTCAACACAACTAACCAAATTCTAAATAGAGCTCACACTTTAATTGGGAGAAAAGTGCCTCGAAAAATACTTGGAATACTTAGCAATTTTGCCCAACTACATCATCCTCGGCCACGACCTCCACCTGTTACCATAAGTGAGAAAATGAGCAGCATATTAGTCTACACGGTTGAAAGACAAGCTAAGAAAATGGAAAAATACCACGTTGTGCTGATTTTCTAACCAAAATAAACTTAAAAGAATTTATGAATGCTAAAATGACAGAGATGAGAACAGAAACAGAAAATAAAACAGTCTCATTTATAAATCTGATGTTAACTGTGATTTTGACTTATAGATGCCAGCAGCTGCTATTGACTGTGAAAGCAGAACAATTGAATTATGCCACACCCATTTGACAGTGTTGCTGAAAAGGTTCTAATCAAATGAAGGCAAACACATAACACATTTTTTCTCATACTTTATTACATCTTACCTCTGTTTCCACTAGGCTTTCCACCTGGGCCACCCCTACCTCGGCCTGCACCCTTAGCACCTCCATCATCTAGCCCTCGCCCAACACCTTTTGCTTGTCTTCCACCAGGACCTTCTTCTCTGCCCCCTCTACCTCTGCCACGTCCTACCCCAGGAGGCTTTCTATCTGTGGAAGTCAGAATTAATTTAGTTTTCATTGTTGATGGTAAAAGACACCTTTCTGATTACTAGTAAAACAATTACAGCATACCTGCACGGCTCTTGGTTTCTTCCTGAACTTTATCAATTACCTAAAATGGCAGAAACATTATCAGATTAGAAGCCACTGGAATCTGAGCACCAGTATTTAATGGTATTTCAATTTACGGGAGAAAGTTTAAGGGAACTCAAGTTGGAAAAGAATGCTTCTTGAATGAAGAGAAAAACCTTATTTCAACAAGTAAGGCTAGGTAACTTTTGCCAGAACACATAATTAAAAATCTAATTACATTCTATTCCACAATTTTTTTTCGCAATCTATAACAAAGACAGAACATCAAGAAGTTGTCAATAACATAAATTGTGTGAACCAAACCATTGAGTGCCTTGGGAAATCCACAAGGTTCAAATTTGAGAAAAGAGGATAAAATGATTAAGGTGCAGGCATACCTCATCAGGAACCCGAAGATACTTAATTGTATTACCACGGATGTAGCACTCAGGCATTCGCCAAAATCTGTCTCCATCCTAATGAAAATTCCAATCATCCCAATCAAAATCTTGAGGAAAAAATTAGCTAGAAGAGAATAAAATAACAGCATTGATTGAGAAAGCACATTATACCTTGGACGTACAGATAACTTCGCGAAGATGGATGTTCATCCAAGTATCACAGTTAACCAAATGTCCATTGTAAGTCTCCCCATTTTTCAGTTCCACCAACTATCACAACAAAGTAAAAACATGAATTCTTCAAAAATTTATCATCCAACTATCCAAGAAGAATTTCGCGTGAAGTTTGCTCTTACCATAGGATGGCCCTGTGCAGTTTTTAGTAGAGAAAGTGGGAGCTGAAAAGGTCAAGACAGATAAATGGGTTACCATAAAAATTTTAAAAAAAGGGGAAGAAAATCTTCGAAACAACAAACTAGAACCCTTAAAAATTAACCCAAAAGCAATCTGCTAACAATCTCTTACTTAAAAATTTGTTTTAAAAGCCACAATTAATTTCCTTTCTGGGTTTTATCTGGGATTTAACTTCTTGTGATCCCCTTTACTCAAACAGAAGCACATTAAAAACCACAATAAGCTAAATTTACATCATCTTTTTTCCTTGACTTCCTAAGCTACCAAACAGAAGGAAAAGGCAACTAAATTAAAGAGTGTAATCTACCATCTTTTAGGGCAATCAGAAACAAGCAAAGCAGAAGCAACCTGCAGGGAAAGTGAAAGAAAAAAATTCATAAATAAATAAATAACTTCAGAAAGCAAATTAAAAGGCCTTACGCCCGAAACCCTAGCTCCTCGTCGTTCTCAATACCAAAAACGAAGAAATTACTGAAATCGAGCATATATACTTTGTCGAAAAGCAAAACCAAAAAAAAAAAGTTGCTGTAAACCCTAAAAGAAGTCACCGGAATTGAAAATACCAGAGAAAGAGAGGAGCTTTGGCTGTCGGTGAGACAGCTATGCTTCTTCCGGAGCTCGATCTCACTGAATCAGTGAGCCTTCTGAGGAACCGAGCGGTGTTCTGACTATTGATTCAGAGCGCGGCGACGCACAAAATTATATTAGGGTGGTAGTAGTAGGCGGTGAGGACGCGAGGGAAAAAACAAAAGGGGTAATATGAAAAGGAAGAAAATATGAGGGACCATAATAAGTTCAATAACATCTTTTTCTTTCATGAATATCAAATCAATAAAAACTTTCTCTTCCTGCAAAAAAAGAGAAAAAAATCTAAAAAAAATGTTTAATAGTTTGAATTATACAACTATAATTATTAAATAAATTTTAATTTTTTAATATTAAAAACTTCACTTTTTATTTGATTATATTTTATAATTTAATACAAGTTAAATTATAAAATAAGTGCTCAAAATTTAATACTTTTTAAGTTTTTTTTTTTTCTTAAAAAAATGCATGTTCTTATCTGGAATCGTTGGATGAGGGCCGGGATTCATGTTACTAGGGCCTCAGCCATCCGACTATCCTCGTGTTGTTTTTTTTTTTTTTT